TGGGAAGCCACGGATGCAGAGAACTCGCTCCCTCTGGGCTCCGTCAGGTGGGCGGCTCGCTATGCTGCTTGCCCTCTGAACCCCAGCCCTTGCAGCAGGATCACCTGGAAAGCCCTGGGCCTTTCCTCGTCTCGCCTCCTTCCTGACAGCACGTGGGCTGGGGCCCGGGTCACTCAGACGTGCACAAGAGATATTTCCACAGCAGGGGTGCACCTGGGTGCAGCCAGGAGTTGGGGGGCTCAGTGGGTTAAAGCCTCTGCCTTCGGCTCAGGTCATGATCTCAGGGTCCTGGGATCGAGCCCCGCATCGGGCTCTCTGCTCCGCAGGGAGTCTGCTTCCTCCTCTCTCTGCCTGCCTCTCTGCTTACTTGTGATCTCCGTTGTCAAATAAATAAATAAAATCTTAAAAAAAAAAAAAAATCTGCAGCAAACCACCCCCGAACCTGTATGATTCCTCCCACCTTCCATCCCTGACTTCAGCTCCGCTCCCACGCCAGGGGACTGAAACCCAAATATCTTCCCTGGAAGAGAAGAATGTGCCCCCGCATCTGGCAGAAAACCCCGTCTGTCCCCATAAGGATCACCTCTAATGCCACGGAGGCCGGCTCTCCCCGCCAGCCAGTAAGCCTTCCTCTCATCGGTGACAGTGCCCCTATTTCCCAGGAAGTCACTTCCCCCCAACTTTTACCCCACGTGCCTGGGGTAGAGACGCTGGCCTCACACCCTAGCTGAGATTCCCTGGCCACTGGAGCCGGGCAGGGCAGGGAAGGTGGCCCACATAGGGCCCAGAGAGCCGGTCCTGCAATATTTGCTGGAACTACTGGAGAAGGCGGTCTGCTTCTGCTTCTGCTCCTGCTTTGGCATCCTGCGCTGCCACTGGAAACTTAGAGCTGCTAAGAAATGCCTGTGTTCGATGAGGGGGGCCTGCCTGAGGCTCCGCCCTGCCCAGGCAACCCCCCTTCTGGGTACAGTGTCTACCCCAGAAGAACCTCAATCAGGATCTCAAAGGGGTGTCTGCACCCCACATTCACAACAGCCAAAACACAGAAACAAGCCCGATGACCATGGACAGACGGGGACGGAAAAGGAGGAACACGCGTAAGTGGTATCATGCAGCATTAGAAAGGAAGAAATCTTATTTGTGACAGTATGGATGAACTTGGAGGCCATTATGCTACGTGACGTGAGGCTGTCACAGGAGAAGTCCTGTACGATTCCCCTTCCGGAGACATCTAAAGTAGCCACCACAGAAGCAGAGAAGAGAAGGGCAGTTTCCAGAGGCCAGAGATGGGTGATGGGCATTGGCGCTGAAGGGTTATAAAGTTGCAATCACGCCAGGCGGATACATTCTCGAATCCACTGGTAACACTGTGTCTGTCGCTAACAAGACAGAAATGCCTGCTTTGAAACACGATAGGAGGATAGAGCTCCTGGCCAGTGCTCTTACCACAAAAACAAGAAAGAAATAGCAAAGAAAAAAAAAAAGTCACAAGGAAATTTCTGGAGGTGCGGACAAGCTCAGTACCATGATGATGGGTGCACGTGTGTGTGCACACTCGAGATCTATGCCCTGACTATGTGCAATGTTTTGTACGTCAGCATGCCTCAAACCACAGAGCTAGCCAGGATACGGAGGAAAAGATTCTTGTCATCTACTGTGGTTACATTTTATTCTCGTGGCAAACACCAAGTCAGCAAACACAGAGCCGCTGCTCGGGGGAAACGGGTTCCTGCCAGCTTCTAGACACAGCCTGAGGGTTACCCCCGTGGGTACGGAACCATGTCTTAGGTATGTTTCTGTGTAAAGACACCTTACCTAATACTGCTGCCCCCTGGCCCTCGAACTGCCGGCCACCAGCACCGCGCCTCACATCTGCGAGAAGCTGCTTGGACACACGACCACCCCGCCCCCCAGCAGAGCCTGCACTCAAGACGACCACCTGCACTCCAGCTTCTCCCCCAGCTCCCCCATTTCTTGATCAGTGCTCTGAATTCTACGTGGGGGCCATGGGCAAGAGTGGAAAATGGGAGCTAGGAATTTCCTGGGCGGAGAGAGGGGAAGGAGGATCAGGAAGAGAGAACCAGAATGGGCCCACGGGCAGACTGCCCAGGTCCTTCTCTGCCAGCAACATTGCTGTGGGTGAGGATGCTACCCTCTCCTCTCCTGGCTGAACCCCGACAGACAGACCCGGCCCACGCTACTGCAAGATGTTCCCCACGAGAAGTCATCACTGCCTCTGCAGGGGGGGCAAGGTGACCCCGCCACTGTCCCTGTGACTCTGCACAAGCACCCCTCCCGGGGGCCCTGACCCGGGGGAGCCAGCGTGGGAGTCTGTGGGCCCAGCGCTGTCACGAGGCAACTTGCCCTCTCCCACAGAGCCCACTCAATGCCCCACTAGCCAGCCCAGCTCCCCTGAAATTCCCACGGGTGAGGCCTGGACCCTGTCCCACACGTTCCTGCCCTGACCCCACCGGGGGAGGGGAGCATGGCCCTGCTTGCCAGGTCTGCAGTGAAGGGACAGGAGGGCTTGAGACTCCCATCCAACAACCAAAAGCATCAAGTCATCCCTGAGGTTTGTTATTCTGAGTTTTAGGATAGCTACGTGTTGGCCGGTCACAGAGCCTGTCCCTGTCCCATGTCCTGAGAGCCCGCGAACCCCCAGCCCTCCACTGCACTGAGCTCTTCCAAGCTCCCCACCGGGTCTACGAGCTTTTAGGTTATAGTGCTGGGAGTCACATCACGTCTCTCCAGCTCTGGGAGAGCCAGTCCCCTCTTTTCCCCTGACCATAGTACCCCCTCCCTAGTCTGCCCTGCTCCTCGTGAGAGGACCTCAAGCAGACGGAAGCTCAGAGGCCTCGCTGGCCACCGGCCCCCAGGTCTTCTGTCTTCCTAGAGGAATGCCCGCACTGCCCCACTCAGGCAGCTGGGGCCACCGTCCAGGGCCCACCCCAAGGATACTCTGTCCAAATGGGGTTCACGCTGCCCCCTTTAAACTCTGTCATTAAAGTTTCCCAGGGACACAAGGGTCCACTGAGCTCCGGTGAGTCAGCTCGCTAAACTCATGGCCAGAGCCTGACCTCCCCATGACCATCGCCTCCCCCTACCCTGCATCTGCCCCAGCCCGGGCTCCTGACTGGCTTTCAAAAAGCCACATCCTGTGGTCAGACGCAGAAGTCTGAGGAAAGCAGGGAAAGGCGGCTCTTTCCGGAGAAGGTGATTTCAGCTGTCAACAGTTCCTGGCTGATTTGTTTTCCTCTTCATATCCCTCTGGAAGGCATAACTTTGTCAGGTGTCTTCCTTAGAATTTCTACGTGGAATTCTCTAACTGGGCTCCAGGCTGGGGCAGCAGAGCGCGTCTGAGTCTGTCGTACCATCTTTGTTTGACCCACGCGTGGTGCCCTGTGCCCGGCCGGGGGACACGGTTACAGAGAAACGGAGGGGAGCCGGTCTTCACAGCACAGAGCCCGTCCTCACACCTGAACCCTCCCCTCCCCTCCTCTCATAGGGCACCGCCACGACACCGAGAATACCGCTGCTGTCGTCCAGAAACAGCTCTCCTCTGTCACTTCAGAAAACATTCCACTCAGTCTCAGCAGCAGTGCTGTGGGCTGGACTGGGGCCTCAGTCGGTATATTGAAGCCCTAAGCCCCGGGACCTCGAAACGCGACTGTATTTGGACATGGCGCCTTTAAGGAGGTAATTCCTGTTAAATAAAGCCCTGAGAGTGGGGTGTCATCCATCACTGGTGTCCTTATTGGAGAAGAGACGTGGCGGGGGTGGAGCACGGCCACAAGGCAGTCCCGTGAGGACGCAGTGAGCAGGCGCCATTGACAAGGCGAGGGGAGAGGCTCAGCAGAACCAAACCTGCCGACATTGGATACGGGGCTTCTAGAGCCCGGAACGGCGATAAAGTACGTTTCTGCCAATGAGGCCACCTTCTGAGGTGTTTTTCTCCGGCAGCCCGGGAGGACTGATGTGACCAGCTCAGCACGGACTCTCATGCACCAGGCTTCGGCCGAACGCCTGCCTGGCGAGCGAGGCTCGCGGGCTGACACAGAGGAGAATGCAGGCCCGGCTGCCCCCGCCACGGCGGGGACCGGACAGCCCGGATGTACCCCCACACAGCGGAACGCGAACATCACAGCACAGTCAGCGCTACTCCAACAGTCGTGCGGAAAATGCAAACGTGTTCCCATGCTGTGTACTGGGGAACAATCTGGTCAAATGTGAAGATTGTGTCTGCTTAGGAACGTGTTTGTTCACAAGAAGACGAACACAGAGACGCGCATGCAGCCGAATGGAGCCGCCTGGGCACGGAGATGCCGGCCCCCCCGGCCGGCGTGCGTCCCGAGCCCCCATCTGTACCTGTGCCGTCCCAGCCCTCTTCTGACTTCCGACTTCACAGCACTATCCTCATACCACCACACAAAAACACACAACAGCAACCCTTCCAAGACTCACCTCCGCAAGCAAGTGCCACGCCAGCCTCAAGGTCCCGTCTAGGATCCTATTCTTTTCAACTGTCAAGGATCTTTCTTGACTGGGTGGTCCTAACCCGTGTCTTCCCCACAATGGTTTTTATTTCATGAGTCTGCATACTGCAGTGATTTCCAGGAACGTGCATGTTGCCTTACAGCAGAACTGACTTTATTTAAATGGTGCAGTAATGAACTCCACGGCAGGGAGCTGAAGCTTAAGTAATAAACGCCCTGATCATGATCACACGTAATTAAATACTTGAGGCATAAACCTCATTACGGAATATGCCGTTCTGGTCAACGTACCGATATCGCCTCCTAGTGACCACATCTCCTAATTGCAGGTAAAATACAGAAAAAATGAATTTAAAAAATTCATGTGATAAAAATGAATTTTAAAAAATGTTAGGTGGTAAATGAAGCCATTGCACAAACCAAGTCAAACACAAGTACAAATATGATCTGTTTCCTGAAAGACGTTGGTCTCCAGAGTCAAACAGCCTGTGGGGGGGCCACACTGACCTGTCATGGAGTTCTCTGAGGTGCACAGCTGCTCTCTGAGCTTCTCCACGTCGTCAGGATGCACCTGTTCGTACAGGGTGCTCCCAAACCATTCTGACTGGGGCTGGTTCAGCACAGGGGTGACGGAGTCAGACACGTAAATCACGCGTCCGGTCTCTGCCGCCACCACGAACAGAAAGCCGTCTGCTGCTTCCAGGATGAGGTGCTTCAGTTCCTAGGAAGCAAAGATCAAGAGGAGGACTGAGCGCAGACGAACCCCGTCCAGTTAAATGTTCACCTCAGCAACCTTCCACTTTTGCTCCCTTGTTGTGATATGCAAGTAGTTTTAGAAATTTGATTCCTTTTTATAATTGAAAAATAAGCTTAAAAAGGCACATAGCTTGTCCTAGCTCTGAGATACAGCTACTGCAAATACGGCTGGCCCTGATTTAACCAGCCCTCTCTTAGAGAGAGAGAGGAAACTTCCAGCCCAGGGGGCTGATGGAAAGCAAGGAATGATCACCAGACTGTGTCGGAAGGCCAGAGGTGTGAAACTGCAGTCACGTCCTGGGGCACAAAAGGGACCCAGCACACAGTGCTTGGTACAAAAGGTGCTGCTGGAAGGAAGGGAGGGGAAGAGAGAGCGGAGAGTGGGAAGGACAGTCTCCCAGCCACTGCTCCCACGCTGGGGGTGCACTCCCGCTCCCACTCCTCCTGCCCTCCCGGCTGAATGCTGGCAGTGGGTACAAGGGTCTCTCTTTACACTGTCACATCTGTCGAACTTCCAGAACTCCTGCACAGGCTCTCAGAGCAATGCTGGGGGACAGCCCGGCACCCCCCATTGTCCGTATCACCTCACAGTGAGGAGAGAGTTTAGCAGCACCAGCCCGGAGGTCACGTGGACTCACCAGGCTCGCGACTGTCAGTAAAGGCGGGGGGAGCTGCTTGGAATCGATGAGTGGGCAGCAGGACGCCCTGCCATCATCCCCGGAGAGGCATGAGTGGAGCCAAGTCAACTTTGTTAAAAGATGTCTTTTCTTTGCCTGGAGGCAGCGCACCTGTGGCCGCCTACCGTGTCATTCTCACGTTAAGCTCAATGCAGTGGCTCCGTCCTCTAGGGCCCGAGAAGCTAACGCCCCCACATGCCCCTGTGCCCTCAGGTGTGCCTCCAAACACCTCAGACACCGACAACTGATGCCCTTCCCAAGAGCAAAGGTCAGCCATCGGCAAGCACTTCTGGCTGGGAACCCTTCATTCAGGTGTCGCCCGATAGAGAAGCCTCACGGAAACCCCACACAGACGCAGACGGTGGGACTCTGATGCCACAGGGCCGGCTGAGGGCACTCCAAGGACCCAAAGACCAGAAAACAGGGTCTGCTGGTGAGCAGAATCTGGGAAGCCCTGAGCCCTTGGCTGGGTCAGAATCCTCACATCGTCTGCCTGGGAACCTAGGGCCGAAGGAGACTATACAGCATTTTCTGAGAAAAGTTTATTTTGTCCATTTCTCTTGCTTTGCACTTCTGCTGATCCACTCACTCAGCTGAGGGAACGGGTCAGCCGCTTTCTTTTCAGGATCAGAAGACGGAAGAGTTTCCAACAGGAAGGACCACAACACAGAGCAGGAGGTCTGGGAAAGCTGCGAGTTCTGAGGCCAGGGCCGAGGCTCAGGGCTGTGGGAAGGTTTCAGGACGGAACCTCACCTTCGTCGCGGCCCCTCTGTCTACGCTTCCCCTCCCCCCCACCAGATTCGTCTTCCAGGAGCCTGTCACTGGCCATCAAGGTCCCCAGCCTCCACTCTCCGGTTAAACCGACAGGAAGGCTCACGAGCGTGGATTCTGGAGGAAAAGTAGGTTCCCATCCACGGCCCTCAGCTGTGCACCTCTGGGCACATTACCATCCTCAGCTTCCATTTCTTCCCACGGTTCTTCTCAGTGGGATTTTGTGAGGTTAAATGAGGTCTTGTCAACTATCACATGATTTCATTTATGTGTGGAATTTAAGAAACAAAACAGAGGATCGTAGGGGAAGAGAGGGAAAAACAAAACAAGATGACATCAGAGAGGGAGACAAACCATAAGGGACTCTTAACTCTAGGAAACACACTGAGGGCTGCTGGAGGGGAGTTTGGTGGGGGATGGGGTCACTGGGGGGTGGGCATCGAGGGGAGCACGTGATGGAATGAGCACTGGGTGTTACACGCACGTGATGAATCCCTCGCCTCTACCTCTGAAGCTAATAATACACTGTATGTTAATTAACTGAATTTAAATTAAACTAAAAGAAAATAAAAATAAATGAGGTCTTATGTGTGGAGGCTTGGTAAGGGCTTGGCACACAGTCGGTGCTTAATAGATGCAGCTGCGCTCACACCAACCACGTGCCAAGGGACCAAGGGAGAAACGGGCTGGACGCGCCGGGTCCGCATGCCCGCCTGATCTCCTCACTGCCGAGTGCTCGGTCACGGAGACTGGGACGTTCATTTCAAACGTGGACCTCGCAAGATTTTTGTGAATTAAATGCAGATAAAAAGGTTTGTTCTACAGAAAAAAAAATAAAGTTAAAAAAAAAAAAGTCTGTTCTTACCCCAGCGACTAGGAGGCGTGTAACACGTTTCTGCCCCCCATGGAGACACTGCACCCACAGGAAGCCCCAGCATCACAGGAGGTGGGAGCGGCCCCTGCGTCCGTGGAGGGGGACATGGGGCTGGGCGCCAGGTTCCCGGTCCTCCCGGTAATGGTCATGTTACAGCCACACCCCCTCACCCCTGTGAGGGGAGGCACCCCGGAGCCCCCAGGATGGCAGAAAAGGACGCCTTTGCCACAGGGGAGGGCATTCACCTGTGTCCACTCCTTTTCATTGTCCTTTCTCCGAACCTCACCCCTCCCAACTCAAACAGGTCTCAGCCCCAGCAACAGCAGACCGTCTGTCTCCAGACTCGCCTTTCGCTCCTGCCTCCCAGGCCCTGCCCTCACATTCCCCTCACATCAAGCCCCTGCTCTCCATCTCTCCAAGGGCACTCTGGGGCCCCTCAGAGCCCAGTGATGCTGGGGAGCCCCAGGAATGGGATATCCTCCCTCACGTGGGGCTCCCCCCGTTCCTGCACCCCAAGCACATTGTCCCACGACCGCCTGCCGGCCCGTCCCACACCCACCACCACACACCAAGGCCTTCTAGACCCATCCTTCCATTGATCCACTGATCCTGCAAAAGCCCTCGGGGTGGGGGGTGGGATGGGGAGGCCCAAAGCTCCTCTTCACTTCAAAGATGAGCCAAGAGAAGCTAACAGCGTCTGTGGGTCTGTCCTCCCTGTGGCACCCGGAAGAGCAGAGAATAGAGCCTGGGTTCATGCAGTGGTTTACAACATCTGTAACATGCAATCCCCCCCACCCAAGCCATGCCGCACCTCTGCTCTCCCCAACTCCTCAAGCCCTGTCTGGCTGTGAGAAGGATGGCCGGGGGCCCAGGCCACCTGAGCCGTCAGTGGACGCACTCGGGGCCACTGGTGGACCCTTTCTAAGCTGCAGCCCTCGTCTACACAGCAGGAACCAATACTAGTGGCTTCTCGTTTGGCTAGAACGAGAAGCCCATGGATCACCACGACTGCCAGCCAGCCTGGCACCCACACCACGGCCCAGCAGCACCAGCACGCTCCGGACCAGTGCACCACCCCTCCGCCCCACGGACGTTTTCAGCGAAGCCTCATGAGGGTTTACGGGAAACATAAAAGCCAAAGACACAAGGTCACACAAACACCGCTCTGAAGAAAGCAAATAAAATCTGATCTCGGTTCCCCGCGCAGCGTCTCTCCCCGGTGACAGCTACTCTGTCACCGCCCCGGGGACGGTGTCAGGACTGTGGTACCTGCTCCGTCAGGAAGGAGGGCTTGTAGGCGCCGTCCGTGGACTTGTTGCCGGTGCCCCTCATGGACTTCATGTGCGACACGGCCATGCGGAGGATGGTGAGCTTGTCCGGCTTGCGGGCCAGCGCGCTGCACGTGGGCACCATGTCCGACAGCTCCGTGATGTACTGCGTCATCTTGTTCCGCCGCCGCCTCTCAATCTCGCTGTGGTTCTCTCTTCCCGAAAGCACAAGAACAGGGCGGGGCGGGGAAAGAGACGCGTCAGAGCAGGGGTCACTGCCCAACAGGACGAAATAGGGCACATCCGCGAGCGCCAAGCGACCAGGAGACACACGCGCCCCTGCGGGGGCTGGTGCCTGGAACGCTGGCAGCGGCGCTTGGGCCCAGGCGGCCTGTGTCCCTGCATGGGGGGTGGGGGGGTGCACAGGCCGCCAGGGGGGCCTCCGTCTCCCCTTGAAGTGTGTCCCGAACCTGCCCTTCGTCCCCAAGCACCCAAGTAGGCTCTCTAAGCACAGAGAATTCTGGCGTTATCCTTCGGCTGTGGGAGGTGCAGCGGCCTCCGCTCCCTCCGTGCAGCGGGATCCGCACGGGGCGATCCACACATCGGGACCTACACACTGCGATCGGGATCCGCACACCCGATTCGCACACTGTGACCTGCACACCTGAGCCATGCGCCAGGATCAACGCATCGGGATCCGCACCCCAATCGGCACCCTGGGATCCGCACACCCGATTCACAAGCCAGAATCCATGCATTGGGATCCGCACACCCAGCCCTGCACACCGGGACCCGCACACGGTGGGCGCGCTTGCACACACCCGCACGCAGATGGAGCTACCCCCGCAGGGATGTGTGCTTTCCTTCCGCCCCAGAGTGAGAAGCACCGCATGGCCCCGCCATCCTTCCGTCAGACAAACCTTTGCTCTGGGCCCTGCACATCTTCCACTGCCTAAGACAGGCAGGCCCATGGCTCATTAACCAGCCCACGGCCAATTAACCATTAAAAGGCAGTGAGGGATTACTGAAGTCAATCTCCGTGGTGGGTTACGATGGAAGACTAGCAGAGAGGACGGCGGAATGTTTGCATCTTGCTATCATTACCTTTAGGATGAGAGAGTAGGTGTCAACTCAGCTCCACAGCCCGGCACAATGTTACCTGGGTTTAAAGGATGGTCTAGAAAGACAGTTGTCTGCAGGAGGATTTAGGGTTTCGCTGGGGCTCTGAGCAGGAGAGGGACACGGACAGCACAGGGTGCATGAGGCTGCCTGCCCACCCCGTGTCTACCAAGTGGGCTGAACCCCCACCCTCCCAACCGGGCAATACACCAGCCATTGGGCACAACCACGCGCCAGCCGTGTGCCAGCCGCACACACTGAGGGCCGCTGCCTGCACCAGCAGGGGAAGACGGGCCCACAGCGGAGCTCATGGCACTGGTGCGAGCTGACCAGCCCAGTGGGCACTTTCCACCCTCTCCACCCGAGGAGCACTGAGCCGGGCACTGGGGAGGGGACGAGAGGAGACAAGGATCACTCGTGCCCATCCTCCAGCACCCAGGGGGTTAACTAGGAGGGAAAGGAATTGCCTTGTACAGTCTGGAAATGAAGCCAATATAGAGTTAAACCCTGTGAAAGCATGTGGAACATAAAAACCATGGGGCAGAAGGAGAAAGGACAGAGGCAGAGGCCCAGGGGGCCACAGGGCTGGAGGGGTGGGCCGAGACCAGGAGGTGTAGTGTGGGGGGAGACCAACAGGATCAGAAAGGTGCAAGCAGGCCGGGTGGGGGGCAGGCTCGACCTGGAAAGCAGTGAGGAACAGGGAGCATGAGAAGTCGGGGACTGCCTGAGCCCAGAGGGAAAGCTGGGAGAACCCACGAGCTGAGAGCTGAGCAGTGGGACCAGTGCAAATGCCCTGTGGCAGCACCTGCTCCTCAGGGCAGACCCCGGGGCGGGGAAGGACACCCACTATTTAGGAGAAATGGCTCTTGGGTAATGGGACAGGGCCTGGTTACGATGGGGAAAAGAGAGGTAACCACGCGGTCAGGGGAGTCCCATGTGCTGCATCAAACTCCGGGTCCTTCCCTGGAAGATACAGGGAAGATCCTCTCCCTCCTCTCCGCCATTCCAAAGCAGGTAAAGAAGCCGCTGGAGCCCACCCAGAACTGGCCTTCCTCACCATCCCTTCCCTGGACCCTGCACCATGCACCTGTCACGGGAGGCAAGGGGCACTGGCCCTGGGACTCCAGGAAAGGCTTGGTGAGCTTGCCTGGGGGCCCCCCATCCCCCCAGGCCAGCCCGCAGACAAGCAGGAGACTGTGCAGAAAATGCTGCCCAAGGCTGTGGAAGAGGGTATGGCATAAGGCAGGAAGTCTGGCCACTTAGGGACGGCGGTCACAATGCAGGGTGCAGCCCGCCCACACCTCCGATCTCCTGCCCAGGGGCTCTCCTGAGGAGGCGATCGTGCCTCCTCCTCCCTGATAGCAGGAGGGAAGTTCTAACCTACTGGGCTTTCAGGGAACACCCTTCCTGTCCTGGCCAGCCCTCCCCGGGCACCAGGACAGGATGTCAGGAGAGCCGAGAAGGCCCGAAGAAAGCTATTCTGTGCAGCCCCACAATGAGGCTGGCCACAGGCCCTGTGGGAGGACCCACGGAGCCATATCCAGTTGGGAAGTTTCCCTGGCTTCTGAGGCTTCTCCAGAAGGGGCAAAGGAGGGTCCCTCCCTGGGAAGCAGGCAGGCGCCCTGTCCTCGGAGCACCACGCAAGGCAGTTTTCTGCAAGGCAGCTGGAAGGCACCCATGCACGAGGCTGTAGATGAGGTTCCTGTGCAGCACAGAGAGGGAGGCGGAAAAAGCCTCGTTCCTCCAAAGAGGGCCAAGCCCAGCCTCTGATCCCCCTGCCCCCCAGCTGGACACACCCCCTCCGTGTTTCTACAGCTGCTTCCAGCAGAGCGGCCTCAGCGCCCCCCACCTCTGACCCCTGCAACCACGCGCTGTGGAAGAGGGGCCTGAGGCTCAGAGGTCACTTAGCAGGACTGGACCAGGCTCTTCCCCGGCCCGCTTCCCGGTCCTGGATCCGGAGCCAGAACTCCCCCGGCCCGAGAGGAGCAGCTGCAGCGTCACGGGGAGGGAAATGCCTAGCAGCTCCGGAGAGACACAGCTCAGCACCACAGATGGCCCCAGAGAGGACTTCCACCCCCACCCAGCCTGCTGTTCTCCGGACACCGTCCCTGCAAGTCAAGCTTCGTCTCTGCAGGACAGAAGCGGAGGAGCAGGCAACTGGACGAGGGGAGAGGGCGTCGCAACCGCCTCAGGCACACGAGCGCCAGGCGTCTCTCCGGAGAGACAGTGGGCTCCACCGGACAGATTTCTGTCTGAAGCATCTTGACCCTAATCCCAGCCCCGACCTACGGAAACCAGGCGTCCCAACCGAACCCCTGCTCTCCTGGTTGCTCGTGGGACCCCCTCTTCCAAGGTCAACCCAGCATGTCGGCAACACCTTCTGGTTCATAAGACCCAAGGATGCTGGGGCACAGAGAAGTCTAGAAAATCCGGGAATGTTCCTCTCGGGTCTGCTGGATCTCTCCTTGCTGTCAAGAGAGCTCACGTGGCCAATGCATGTGTCCCAAACATGGTGGCAGGTCAGATGACAGAGGACAACACTTGCTGCTTCCTGGCCATCCTCCCTGCCTCAAAAGGACTTTGAGCATCTTCCGACCTAGGAACGAAATAGCCAGCTTCCTCAGCTAAGTCTAGAAGCTTCTCAGCACAGTCTAAGAATTCCCGCTCCACCGGCCAGGAAAGATCCCTGCAGGACACGCCCGCCACGCAAATGTCTTCCCCCTTCTGTGGGGCTGTAATCATCACACCTGCCACGGGAACAGGGTGGTAAATCCATACGGGAGGATTCAAACCAAAATATCGCCACATCTCCCAAGCTGGAGAAAGCACGCGCGAGCGTCTGAACCACACAGAGTCAAACAGAAAGTGCCAGAGTATCAGAGTAGGTGGGATGAAACACAGAAGGCCAAGCCCGTGGGAGGCTGCCCTTCACAACTCCCTCTTGACGACGGGCTGCGCCCCGCAGACATAACCGGAGCTCCAGCAGGCGGAGCTGGGTGCTGCAGGCGTCCCGGGCAAGAGACAGGCCACCCGAGGGTGGGACCTCAGGAAGGTCACGTAGACCCATTCTCTAAGGGTGAGAGAGCCCTGTAACACCACCAGGGTTTTGGTTCCAAGCTTATTGGTCATCCCACAGCCATGGCGTCAGAGCCACAGTCAGAGCCTCAAGAGCGCCTGCGAGGTTGTTTGGATGTTTGGAGAAAAGGTACAGAACGAGCCCAAATACGGCAAAAATCGTGTTGACAAGAATGACGGCAGTGAGCGCTCAGTTGCTCTAAGCTGTAAAGTGAACGTTACAAGTATGTGTATAATGGAAACGTTACAAATACATTTCCGTTCCTTTCCTTTAACGAACTGCGCACGCACGCGTACAGACGCATATGTAAGTCACACGAAGGACGGGGCGTGCAGCTGTGACCGCTGGTGACAGCACGGATGTCAGCCGTCCGTCCCACTTGGGCAACAGTATTCTCGCCCCTCCCCACAGGCGGCGGCGGAGCCCAGCACGGGCGCAGGAAGAAACCCCAGACTCATCAGAAAACAGACAGTGGGGGGGCGCACAAAGGAGGAAGATGGCCTGAACCACAGAGCGTGTGGGTTGGGCCTCTCCTCCAGGGGGGCTTTCAGTCTTGCTGGGCGGGGTGGGTGCTCACCCCCCCAGGTGGCCAGGGCACCCATCCTGGGCCGGAGCCAGAGGGGCTCGGGGCTGGCCTCCCCAGAGGGTCTGCCCCACTCCCAGAGGCCAGGGAGACTCCTCTTTGGAGAAAGGCTTTGAGCTGTGTGATGGGTTTTCCCAGAGATGGAGAGCCCATCACCCTCCGCCATGGGGACCATGACTGGGCAACAGGGACTCCCCAAGGCGCCCATGAGGTCAGGCCACCCTCCCCAGACTTAGCCCAGGAGAAAGGTCGCTCTCTACCCGTGCTCCTCCTGGCCTCTCTGGCCAAGACGCCCCTCCCGAGACACGCAGGCCCCCCCGGGTCTCTATCAGCCTCAAGGCCCTCGTCCCTGCGGCCCATGGGTTGCACCAGCAGATGCCGCACAGTACGGGGGCCCAGCACCAGCACGCCAATAGCCTCAGTGTGAGGGGGCAGGTCGCCCACCCTCCAGCGGACCTCCGCCAAACCCCCCACAGCTTCAGCGTCCCCCTGTGTGCACACAGCTCCCTGCCGCTCCCCACTGCTCTGGCGCCCTCCGTCTCCAGCCCCCTTCCTCGAGGCTAACACTGTGCCCGAGACAGGGGTCTGGGGATCCCAGGGTGGATCCCAAGGACGCCACCAGAGGAAGGGGTGGGAGAACGGGACGGCCCACCGGCCACTGCCGACGGTGGCTCCCTTCTGTGAGTCTCCAGTCGCCCCCCACTCTCCCACAGGATCGACCCCACGGCTTCCCAGCTCCCGGCCTTGCTCTGGCTGCTCTGGAGCTGGGCCTGGGGCTCGGCCCCCTTGGCTGTCTTTCCCCGGCGCCCACCGCCAGGGCCGCTGTCCCCCCGCTGCACCTGCAGTTCCCCCAGCCCTCGTCTGCGGACCGTGGGTATTCTCGGGATCCAGGCAGCTGCTGTCGCTCTAAGAAAACGGACGACTGACTTCCTCTGTGACTGTGGCCATATTTCCCAGAGAAGAACTGAGACGGGAGGTCTGAGGGCAGGCAGGACGGTCAAATTTCAGACCACCCTCGAGGAAGGCTGGGAAAGCCGGCTGGGCAAACCTCAGGGGGCAGGGAAGGCACAGCTCAGCTTCTGCGGCACCAAACCACGCTGGGGGCCATCCCAGCGCCTCGGCCACCCTCCTTCACGGGGCCAGCCAGAGGGCCTCCTCGGGGCTGACGGCAAGCAGACGGGCAGGGGGGCAGAAGCCGCCCCCGACGGGTAGTGCACCGCGATGGTGGGAGAGCACCCCTGCAGATGCCCTGCTGCTCCCCTGCACAGCGGCCGCGGCCCCCAGCCCGGGGGGTGGGGTGGGGGTGGTCCGTGCCGTGTCTCTGACCCCGAGGGCTCAGGCGCACCCACCGGCGGACGGGTCTTCGACCGCCCCGCCCCCCGGGAGACGGTGATGCGACCCCAGCACCCTGCAAACTCTCCCAGAAACAGCAGTGAATGACCACACCCGTCCCATCCTCCCTCTGGTTTGTCGGCACGGAGGGAAGGCTGTGGCCTTCAGAAGCCTCAGTCTGCGCTCTGATGCGCTGACGGCCTGGGTGGACCGCGGCCCAGAGGGGAAGGATTGTATCTTAATGCAGGGCCTGCAGACAATGAGCTCCTTGTGTCCCGCACAGCGATTTAACTGCGGACACCGGTCCTTGATGTCGAGCGAACATCCCTCTGTGTCTCTCCTCCCGTTCGTCTGGAGACCCCAGAAGTCATCATTTCCTGAGCTCAACACAGTCTAGAATGTTATCTCGAGGGGGATCCTGATACGAAGACACCAAGAGTCCTCCCGTCCTCAGGAAGGGAGGCTGTGGGAGGTGAGCAGGCCAGACAGGGGTGCCCGTGCCCTCATCCGAGGCTAGTTCGGCTTCGGAGCAAACCTTTTCCCAAGAAGCGGGTGCCATCCGAGCTGAGGCTCTCTCAGCACCGGGGGACAGCACCCCACACATCTGTTACCCAAACTCATGTCTTGTTCTGATGAGAAAACCCGGGGTCATCAGACAGCACAGCAGTCACCGTGTCCTCTCTGCTGTCTCCCTGAGCATTGCAGGGGACGGTACACAGTGTGTTCTACAGACATGCGGACTCTGGGAGGCCACAGCAATGGGACGCCTATACCTCTCCAGTTCGGGGGGAGCGGAGGGAGAGCACTCGGTCACTGCCATGGGGTGAGCAGACCAGGGGGTCCGTGGGCCTGGGGCTCCCCAGGGATATTGTTCTAAGAACTTTGAAAAAATAACCCAGAGCGTCGTTCCAAGCTGTGAAGTGCAGAGAGCAGAGGAAGGGACCCATCGCCCAGGGCAGGGGTTCAAGTTCATCAGCAACCCGGCGTTAGGACTGCCTGGAGTTGGGGACGGATGTCCAGGCAGGACCCTCTGTGAGTGACCAGTGCAGAGGGGCACTCCGCTAAGATCGATGGCGTGATCCGTGCCTCTCTCCACACTCCCAAACCTCCAACTAACTTCAGCCAAACAAAACCAGAAAAAAAGAGAGAGAAAGAGGACCAGTCTGCAGGGCTGTCTCTGCCTTACCATACCCAGTGGATGGACCACCACCTGCCCCGCGACCCCCTGTCCTCTCCGGGACACGGTCTGCACTCAGGTCAGCCCCTTGAGCCCAGCTCCCTCGCTGTCACACGGCCAGAGAGCGACACGGCTCTGAGGCCCCCACGGGGCAGTCTTACAGCCCGTGCCCAGGACGGGGCCACCCCACGTCCTTACGGGTGCTGTCCTGCCCGTGGCAGCAGAAGAGGCCACACCTTGATAGTCTTTCCTAGACTTGAGCTCTAGCCTGCGTCACCATATAGCTCGGTGGTCACTGTCTCAGTTGAAGTCCAACCCAGCTAATACCCCGTTAGTGACATTTTGAGGTCAAGTGTCCTCCCTCAGTGACGTCGGACGGGCATGGCCTGTCCCGGGTCACCCGCGGGCACAGGACAAGGGGCAAGCAAGGGCTCTGATGACAGGCAACGGCTTCTTCACGACAGAAGACCCTGAAATCCCTGCGATGGCCTCGCGGACATGGCTGGCTGCTGGCTTCTTGAAGACCAAGGAACGTAAACTCACCTTGAAAATTTGCTGGGCCCTTCTCCATCTTCATCGTCAAAGTCCATCCTGAAAAGCCAAGAGCATGAGGAGGTTCAGTACAGACAGAACATTTCACGGGCGACCCAAGGGGCCGGCCCCACCCAGGGGGCCCCGTTTGGCCGGCCAGACGCGTCCCAGTCCCAGCCCTCAGGAAACACCACCTGCATTTCGTCCTTTATCTTGTGCTCCCTGTCAGCAGGCTCAGAAAGCTCGCGGGGAACCGGAGGCGCTCGGGGCGGTAACGGGCTAGCGGGGGCCGAGCTGCTGGCTGACGTGGCCGCTCTGGGTGAGTCAGAGAGGGGCATTCCAGGCCACTGTCCCCTAACATCCAAAGCCAAACAAAGGCATGGGGACCTAGAAACAGTCATCTGGGCCCGGAGCGACCCGAAGGACCCGTGTGCTCGTTAAAGCTCACCCAATACTTAGAACCCACTTCCCTGAGCCTCTCAGTATAAACATGAATGGAAAAGTCTGGATGAGTGTGTGTTTCACTAATAGCCCAAACTGTCCTTCTCGAAACACCAGGCCCCTCTGAGGTCAGCTAACGTTACCCCAAAGATGCCGGGGTAATTCATTCGTGTGAACCGTACCCGGAACCTTCCAAGGACAAAAGGCAAAATAGCGCGGATGTCCTCATTCTCCAGGATGTTCAGGGGAATGTGCGGGGGGACGCCCCGGAGCCACAGCATTGCCATCCCGCTCTCAGTGGACCCGAGGGGCCCGGCGACGTGCAGTCCCAGGGGCTCCACACGGAAGGGAGGCCGGCCTGCCCGGCAGCCAGGACAGAGAGCTGAGCCCAGGAATGAGGGTGTGCTGGCCTCATGGGGAGCGGGACCCCCACCCCTGGCTCTAGGTGGGTAACGGTGACTCGGGGAATGAACAGGAGGCCCAGGGCACAAGGAAGGGCCAGGGGGCAGAGGCAGAGCTCTGCCCACATGCATGCACACGCACGCACACACCCACACGTGCACACCCACATGTGCACACACACGTGCACACACACACACGCACACACAGACACACACACACACACACACACAGGAGAGGACCCTAATGAGACAAATGATCTTCTCTCAGCTGGGCACTAACTCGGGGAACTTAGGGACTGGATTTAGGACAAAGGAGTATTTTCTTCTTTAAAATGGGACCATTCACTGATTTTTTTTTGCATATGTGCTGGGTGGCCACAGCCCTAATCTGGGCACCCGTCTGTCTGGGATGACCAGAGAGACTAGAACCCCTCATTTCCAGGCACGTGGGCTACAACGGGCTTCTAGGAGCAAAGAGCAAAGGCTAAGTTAGATGAGAGTAGGGACAGGCGACAGCAATGAAAATGGACACACCACGGCCCCTGGGGCCAGGCAGGAGGGGAGGACATGTGGTTGGTAAGGGAAAGGAGAGTGAAAGACGGCATGCACACCATGCGGTGACACATGGCCCACAGGTGGCCGCGGGAGACCCCCCTGCCGCACTGTGGGCAAGTGGGGGCCAAACACAAAGACTCCCGCTCGGAGAGAAGCCGTCCACGGCCTGCACAGCCACCACGCCACCACCTCCCCTCAACCAGAAGTAACAGCGACGCTGGCCCATCAAAAATGCCCGGGGCCGCAGAGCCGCGGAGCCACACTGACCCCCAGTGCTCACCGCGGGAACAGCAGCACACGGACAGGACCCAATCCCCGGGGGGCCACAGACATTTCAGAGTTCCAGAAAAGAAACTGCATTTTCAGAATTCCTCAGGACGTATGTTAGCAGGTGACAAAGCCTCGAGTGGGCATCACATGCCAGCACAAGTTCACGGGAGGGTGATAACCGGGCTCCGGCAAGATGCCATGCCTCGGTCAGCCCCCAGGCCTCATCCTGCAGGATTTTTGCGGTGTTCGGGGTGAAAAGCATCCCGATTTTCCCAGGCTGAGAGCACCCCAGGATGCAGGCCATCAGTGCTAAAACTGGGAAAAACCCAGGCCAACCAGGGTGGTTGGTCTCCCTGGTTTTCGGGAAGACCATTCTATTCTTTACGCTAGACCCTCATGGCGCAGACAGGCGGGGACACGGTCCCACTCAGGCCAGGTGAGCTGTGGCTCCGTGGAGGAAGCCAACGGTGTAGGGAAGGGGCAGCCCCGCTCTGGAGTCAGGGTTTCCTAGAGTCGGGGGGAGCTCGGGTTTGTCTACAGAAACTTAAGAGACCACGAAAGGGGGCCTCCCCGTCCGCGCATAGGAGGTCACACACGTGCAGCCATCAGATTCCGTCATTCGGAAGAGTGTGATGTGGGTGTGAGCCCAGAAGAGAATCAGTCCACGAACGACTGGTCAGGTCCTCGGGGCGACGCCCCTGACCCCACCAGTCTCGTGCTCCTGGGGACACAGGTTCCTCAGAGCGTCACCTCAGGACGCTGCCGTGGCCGTCTGTCACCACGGCTGATCCCCTGCTTTAACCATGCCACAATAGCTGGGCTTCTTTCTTCTGCTATAAAAACTCTAAATCATGCTTTGTTTTATGTCTTTTACGTGCCTTTATTCCCCTGAAGCACCTGGCTAATGAGAGAAACCCGGCTGTGACCCTGACGTCCCACCATGTTCACGCTGAAGGATTCGGAATGACACGTGGATGCTGTGACAGTCTTCAAAGGACGGGCTGAAGCCGTACTGCCTCCCTTCCCATCAATGAGCGAGAACTCTGGGTTGATAAAATGCCAGGAAGGCACCTCTGAGCTTGGAACTAGTCAAGAGTGTGTGACGGGAGTCCCCGGGACCGGGACTGGGTAGCAACCGCGCATTATCAAAGGGCAGTCATCAGACGCTCTCCGGAGAAGGGCAGGCCCCGGAACGGCAGCACCGGAGGGCCCTGGGCCGCCCGAGGCTCCTGCTAACAGCACGGGCGGCCACGGGAGCAGGAACAGCCCTGCTGCGGAGCCTGGGCCAGCCACAGCGGCCGCAGCGGAGCCAGAACAAGCGTCTGGCTTTGGGGTCAGAGCCCGTCCCATCCCTGCCACTGTCCCCTTCCCCAGAAGCGGGCGCCGACACCCCGGCACTGAGATCAGGGAGGTCTCGACGGAAGAGAACAAGGTGACTCGCCCTCACTCCTCTCTCGCACGTGTGTGGAGTCACTTTTCAAAGAATCGGAAACTCCTGCACCTTCACCTGTGTCCCGGGGCCAGTGGGGCGCTCAGCTAGCCGGTGGCTCCGGGGAAGGCCGTCAGGGACGGGGCAGCGCGTTCAAGCCCGAGGGACCCACAGGGATGGGCTGGGTGGCGGCCAGGGGCCCCCAAACCTGCCAGGGGTCAGCTCTGTGCAACTGGAAGCACTGGGACGGAGGGGAGGCCAGCCCCGGGAGCCGGGTTAGGGATGGGGGTAGGAAGCAGATGCTCGCCTCTTGCCCCTTCCTCTCCCCCACCCGAGCCCTCTGTCTCTCCAGTGCCCCACATGCTCACGCGGCGTTTAGCTATGTGTTTAGCTGCTTGGGCGTAATCAGGCGCAGACGAGCCGTGTACGGTGGCAGCTGCAGGACTTACCGGCGAAGAGCCCCGCGCAAGTGCACGTTTCCCCGCCTAGACCCAGAAGATAAGCCCCTCGGTCGACGGGGTTTAGCAGAGGAACCGGTTTGCGAGCTCCCTCCCTGTGATGGGGAAGAGGAAGCAGACAGTGGGGGGCAGGCCTCCTGACTGTCTTAAAGGGCCCAGGCCATGCCTACACAGGTGGCCAGCGTGTCGGCCGCTGCTGTCCCTTCCTTGAATCTCTTGTGTCTTTTCTTGATGTTTGACTCCCGTGGCTGGAGGTGGGATGACCTCCAGGCTCCGTGTCAGCCCACTCGGGGTCCTCCCTGCCTCCTGTGCATGCTGTGTGTGTGTGTGTGTGTGTGTGAGCACGCGTGCATGTGAGATCAGGTAGGCAAGGGACAGCTGGGGACAACGTCTTCAGAAAAGAGCCTGATTGATGTCCAGTCATCAGCCAGGTGGGCCAGTGGAAGTCAGGGCCTGGACGTGGGCTAGGGTTGGCTTCGGGGCCAGCAGCTCAGCCCCGCGCACAGAACCCCCAGCACCGTGCAGGGTGGGAGGGGCAAGTGCAGGCACTCCTGGTGGGGGCCCAGATCCGGCCCAGAGGGGCTGCTCACCTGCCAAGAGGGGTCGGCCTGAGCATCTCTGTCCGTGCCAGACCCTGACCCCCTCCTCCCTGTGCCAGCCTCTCTGGAAACAGGAGTGGGCCAGCCCCAGCGTTCTGTCTCCAGGAACGGAAGTGAGAGAGCACACACATTTAAAATAATTTTAAAACACCTGGAATGTGCAAAGAGACGTCAGCACGCTGACGTGTCGACAGGGCCCGTCCCCCCGCAGTGGCACAGACACGCTCAGCTCGGCGCCCACTGGCTGGAAGAGCCACTTCCAACAGGACGGCGGTGGGGGTGGGGGGTTGCAGGGAGACCCCGGACTCGAGGATCTGCCCAGCTGGGCCCCAGGCGCCGACTCAGTGTACCACGGGCCTGCCCTGAGTACGAGCCCCCCGCCTGCTGCACTGGGGCCTGGGGAGTGAGCCCTGAGTCAGGGGAAAGCGGGTGCGGGGGCCACTGGGCTCGGTGTCCCAGCCCTTCCCACCCTCTCAGTATGAACCCAAAGCTGGGACCCTCCTCTCAAGACCATGGGGTGCACACAGCAGTGTTCCCCCGCGATCCAGACCTGCAGCGCGGGCACGCATCCCACTCCAGGCCTCCCCACATGCCCGTCCCCTGCCCCTTCCAGACCCACCCTGGGCAGAGGGACTACAGGTCTGGAGCACGGCCAACTGGCACCGGAGCCCACCCCGCAGGTCTGGGGCTGGGGCCAGTGCGTTCCCTGCTCCTGGGCTGTCGGAAGTGGCACTAAGGGGAGAAGCTGACTCTATTTCCCGAGAACCGTTATTCACCAGTTCATTGAAAATCACACAGATTCGATGTGGAGAGGGGCCCGGGGGACAGCGGGGTGTGAATATGTAGGTCTCGTTGTCCCCGCAGGGATTTTTGTTAGCTGGCTGGGTTTCTGATATCCGTCTGAAACTATAGGAGCCACAGCCGTCAGCAGATGTGGTTTTGGGGTCCATCAGCCCAAGGGCAATGTCCCCGTAGCTCCTGGTCCTGGCATGTCCCACCTTCAGCAGCTTTACCAGCAATGCAGTGCACGAGGCACACGCCTGGCCTTCGGCTGTGGGGCCGGAGGAGCCGACGTTCTGAGAGTTCCAGCACGCCAGCCGGCAGAGACCGGCTTCCCCGGACACACAAGCGATGGGGCCTCCTCGCGGCCCACAGGGCTGGGGCTCAGTCCGCAACACTGCCCTCGGCTGGCATGCTCACACAGGGGTCCCCATGAGCTCCCTGCTCCCAGAGACAGCCTGAGCAGGGCCCAGCAGGACCATAGAGCCCGTCCCCACCAGGAGGCAAACAAGCAGGAGGCCCCCACTGGCCGCTGGGGCAGACACTTAGAGGCAAATCACATGCATACTTGGGGATCTTGCAAAATCTCAACAAGCAGGCAGACCGCTGAGCTTTTACTCTCCGGGAGGGGGAGAGACAGCATTTCCCTAACAGGTCAAGAGTGTTGCACAACACGTATGAAGCCGTTCCTGGAAACGCTGTTTGCTTACCCAGAACGCCGCTTTCCTCCACGGGCGGGCATGGCCCCGGCCATCCTCACGGGTCCTGTGGCCGCCATGGGGGCCACAGGCAATGTCACCGATCCAGGGATGTCAGAAGCCATTTCTGCAACACAGCCAAGAAGACAGGTTTTATCAATGCCAGGAACAAACAAGAAACTTGTCCAGTGGTCCCAAAAGCAGCAGCCGGAAGGAGAGCCCAAGGCCCTGGGGCCACTCAGCCCAGGCTGGTTATTTGACTCAGGGGAGCCCTTCCCCCAGCTGGGCTCCGCCCTCCTGCTTTGGAACAGGACCCCATCCCAGGCAGAACCCCCATGCTCAGTGCCAGTGGTTAAGAATAGCGCGGACTTGCAGCTTTCAGAAGGGACACCAGGTGACCTGGCAGTGGGTAAGACTTCCATGGATCCAGGCAGTGTGGCCAGAGCCTGAGCAGCCATACAGACGGAGCAAACCCACAGGAGTCGGGTGTCTGTCCCCTGTGGCCGGGCCCCCGGTAAGCTGCCTTCACCCTGGGCCCTTGCCTGCAGGTGGAAAGGCTGTTCCCAATCCTGAATCCTCAGAACCATGACCAAAGGGGCCCGTGTGGCCCCACCACTCATGACAAGGAAAGCGAGTGCCCACACAGACTCCACGACGGCCCGTTCGAGGGACCCGGCTCTCCACAGCCAGGCCTCCCCAGGATACGGACTACTGCCGGGATACGCAGGTGTAGGGGTAGAGGCTCACATTTTTCCTGGCCCCACAGACCCTGGGGCACTACTTCTTACGAGCTAGAAGCTTCTGGAAGCTTGCTGAGGCAATGTCAAGCATGCCCAATTTCAGAGAAACCACACAGTTCAAGAATTTTCCTTCCTCCTTGCGGAGGGTTCTTTAACTCAGGCACCACTTTCCTCCAAATATTAAATAGCAAAATAAATATTCAAATGCCCTCTCCGACGCTGCCTCCTGTTCTTGAGGGAAACTCCCCAAGCGCTCGCCTGCCCAGCTCAGCTCTCACACAGCTCAGAAGGGACACCACGGTCTACTAGAATGTATTTCAAGATAAATAAGGGAATCTGGGCCCTTGTCAGGGGGACGGGCAGTGCTCACACGGGGTGGGTCTCTGCCCTCTGCCTCCTTCCAGAAACCAGGGAGGCACCGCACAGCTGCCCCACGTTACATCCGAAGACATCGTGTTTAATAAACACATTCTAAGACCAACTCAAACTATCCCACTGAAAACTTTGGAAGGAGAATTCTCGAATACTAACAGACAACATCTTGATTTAGCCACTCCACTCTGTTCACAAAAACTGGAGAGCTGTTACAGTTGCTGGGTTAGTTTTTTTTAACCTACTGCACACAACTGCGAAGTACTCAAGGGAGAAAAATCCATTTCTTTAAAGGAGTCCTCTCCCCTTGCAACAGTTTCAACTTAATCTGAAACAGATTAAGTCCACTGCCCTCCCCCCCAAGTGGAGGGCACAGCAGCCACCAACACAAACAGGAGTGAGGACAAAAGTGACCCCTTCCCAAAATAAGCCACAGAGAACCTCAGACCCTTAAGACTCTCCGAGAAAAAGGTCCCCTGGTTCAGCAAAGTAGGAAAAGCCACACGCTTATCCTCGGAGATTGCACTATCCTTTAAAAATGTACTGAGAAGTCCTGTATCAGGAAGTCGTGCTTAACTTTGGTTAGACCGGCGTATCATAAAAGGGGGGAAAGGTGGGGGAGACAATGTGTGTTTAGACAAAACGACAGTCATCCAATTTTACTTCGGGAAAGCAAAAATATTGCTCTTGTAATACAAGTCACAGAAAGTAAAGTGCCATGAAATCTGGCTACGAGACGAGGCTTGGGAACACCCGCCGTCCAACCCTGTCCTCAGACAACTGCTCACGCGTGGTCAGGGCGGGGGGGGGGGGGGTCGGTCTTCCCCGCACGTCGGCATCCTGTCTGCTCCCCTGGACCCTCCACGTGGGCCGGCCTCCGCTGCCCAGCAGACGGGCTGGCTGTGTGAGGGCAGGCCCACGACCACCTGCTCCCAAAGACCCCACTGAGCATACCCCAGAGCCCTCCACGGCTGTGCGGGACAGGAGGGCAAGCTGACGGGGGGACACCAGCAGGCTCCGCCGTGGGACACGGTGCCCTTCGTGGAGGTGATGCAGCAGGCGGGTGTGCTGAGACAGCCCCATTCTTCGCCGGCCACGTGCACCTGTCACCAAGCGCCCTCAAGCTGGGGCTGGGGCCTCCCATCACAGGGCGAAGGTGAGAGGCTCCCACCGGCCCGGAGGTGACACGGCGGTGGTGGCGGCCCAGTACCGGAGGCCAGCACCAGGCGTCCAGGAAATCCTCTCCTCCCAGGAGTCAGTGTTTCCCCCTCATCTGTCTGCACAAGCCCCTTCGGTAATGAAGGGAGAACTCTAGAGTATGTTCTGAAAACACTTGACGGCATTTTTCTCCAGTCTGCCACTTGCTTTGAAGGTGGAGAGATTTCGTTAGTGCGAGAGAACGCTTTCGGAGGGAGAGGCTGAAGGAGATGCGTGGGTCAGCTCTGGCCGCTGTAACAGAATTCCGCGGGCCGGGTGCCGCAGACAACGGACTTCCGTTTTCTCACGGTCTGGGGACTGGGGAGTCCAAGGTCAAGGTGCCGGCCAGCTCACGTCCCGGCGGCTGCCCTCTCCCTGGCTTGCGGATGGCCAACTCCTCTCGGTGGCCTTGCACGTCCTCCTCTCAGCAGGCCACCAACCCACGGCCCTCTCCTTACCACCTCCCTTCTCAATTACCACCTAACGGCTCTTCCTTCAGATTCAGTCACACTGCGGGCCGGGGCCTCAACATGGGAATTTTGGGGACATAACTCAGTCCCCAGCAGAAGCAAAGGTCAAGCATCCCAAGCTCAGTTCATTCAGGAATCCTTCTTCTACCTACAAGGGCCACAATGCACCTTCTCTCCCACGTTGTGTTTGAACGTGGCTCTGCCTCGAGCGTCTCCATTTCTCCGCCGGTCACCGCGCGGTCTGTGCTTGCTCTCGCTGCACCATCCTCCGATACCCAGCAGGGGACCTCCTCCCACTGCCCTCACCGTCCGGTTCCCTTCATCCTTCTTTCTGGCTTTTTCTTCCATTTAGATTCCAGAATATGGGGGCACCTGGGTAGCTCCGTCAGTGACTCTCGGTTTGGGCTCAGGTCATCATCTCAGGGCCATGAGATTGCGCCCCAGCCCCACATCTGGCTCTGCGCAGGGTCGGCCCGTGATCCCCTACCCCCTCCCTCCCCCGTCACTAACCCCATCACAGCCGTGAAGGAGCCGCTGCTCTTCCCACCCTTGCCTTCCACGTGTCACCCTTTCAAAATGTGCATGCCCGGCTGAAGGGGGCCCAGGGTCACCATCCTGTGTCCTGCCATCCCACCAAATTCTAATTTGTTCTAATCATTTTTTGGTTGATTCTTGTGAACTTTCTAAGTTCACAAAGCTGTGGACTCCAAATAAGGATGCTATGTTCACCTCCAACAGGGAAATGTTTCGTTTCTTTTTCATGTCTTATTTCATTAGCCAGAACTTCAGAACAACGTTCAGTAATAATGGCCCAGACCTGGGTAACCCAAGACCCTGGGCTTTGCCGTCAAACACACCTGGTGTCAAATCACAACTCAACACTTCCCAACTACAAGAGTGACCAGGCCACTCTGGTCAAAAAGTCATGATAATCTACTCTGAAGGGTCATTCTAAAAATTAAGAATAGCGCATGTGCAGAGCCCAACACAGGGTCTGGGGGGAAAGAATGACGCTCAAGAAACAATGATTAAAATGGTCATAATATGGTGCTGGTGAGCAACCTTGCTTGGTCCTGGATTGAACAGGAATGACCAGCTTGTTTGAGATAGAAATGCTTGTTTGAGATAAGGAAATCGGCTCCCATTCCTATTAAGGTTTATTTCAGGAATAAATCTTGTTCATTTTATCATTTTATGAAATGCCATTTTGGTCACTGAAATAGTGCTCTGGATTCCAATAAACCAAGTCAAAGTTTCAATGAATGAAACTAAAATTCACTTTTCTAAAGGTTAAACCTCAGTGTCTTTCAGGAGCTACCCTCTGTGCATTCCCGTAAAAGACATTATGGAAACGTGTTTCTCTCCTCTGTAACCCAAGCCCGAATCCCGTGGGATCAGCTGTGGGCCTTCCTGGGAAAAGTGGACACCTGCTCCCCAAATCTGGCAACTTTTCTATGTGACTTGACTGGAAGGGAGGATAACTCCTGGGATGTCCCCTCAGAAAAGGCGGATGGGGGAAGGTCTCCCACCAGCTCAGAGGTGAGGGTCTCTGAGGCAGGGCTTGAAGCCGCCTTGTAAGCACACTGTAGACCTGCTCCAAATTCACCCCAAAATGAAGGAAAGTGGAACCTGAGCACTGCACCAGGCAGAGGGGAAACGATCCTGGATGCCCGCCGCCCTCCTCTGCTCCTGCGGGGTGCATGTGAGCTCAGCCTTTCTGAGGGTGGCGCTGGCAACGCGGACCCTGAGACCCGAGCAGGTCCTAGCGTGGCGTGTGAGGCTACCTGCCCGGGACGGGACTAGAAGACAAATGCAGAGACAGCAGCGTGTTACTGTGGCCCTTTCTGGGGTGGGAATCCGAGTGGGGTTTTACGTTCTCCTAAAAACTCTTTCCGTATAGGTTGTTTTTTTTTTTTTGCAATGAACATGTGTTACTTTAATGTGAGTCTAATGATGTGTTAATTTACTGACCACAGCGAGAATAACAAACATCTTCTGAGGGTTTCCGGTAGAAAACATGGTGAAAAGCACAGACAGCTGGACAGCGAGAAGCGACAAACAAACAAGACAAAGAAAGGGGAAACCCTTTTCACCAACAGGACTGGCCGACCGCAGAATGGATGGGCTTACAGATAACGATAAAAGTTTTATATGCAAATAATTAAAATATTTTGCATAAAGACGGCAAGGTTTATGTTGGGTGCCAACCACGTTCCGAGCTCTTCCCGAGTGTTGGTGTTCCCCTGTACAAGACAGGAATCAAGTCAGCCCATTTTACAGATGAGGGACGTGGGAGGAGAGAGGCAGGGGCCGTGTGCAGCCACACAGCCGGTGAGGGGCCAAGCGGGCTCTTGTGTGCCCGGCCAGCCACTGTAGGGCCCTCGCCACTTGGGGTGCTCAGACAGAGCCTGGGCAAGCAGCCCGCCCTCTGCCGGGATGACAAGGGATGTCCTGAGGTCAGAAGCCCAGACAGGAAGTCGTGTGATGTGCAGGAAACCTTCATGTTTTGGGGTCAGTCCATCTAGCCCTGGGGTCGTGGGCAAGCGACTTATCCTCCCCACGCTGCAGAGTCCCCATCTGTGATGTCAGGAACTCTGCTACGTTCTCGTAGCAGAGGGGATTGTTTGGGGGATTAAAGAAGGTCACTGATGTGAGACACCGGCAGAAGTGATTTCCACTCTGCCCTTTTATTTTCCCCCAAGAGGAGGCTGTTAAAGCAGACGTTGTGTGCGTGTGTGCGTGCGTGTGTTTACGGAACCCTTGAGCATATAACCTGTCTGTGCCTCCGTCTACTAACTACAAAAGGAGCCTCCAAATGGGAAGGACCTCAGGAAGTTGTTTGGAAGATGAAAGAAGCTCATATCTGTAGAACCCTGGAGTGATGCTGGGCACGAAGTATAAGCTCATTTAAATGTGGCCTAAGTCAACACACACACACACACACACACACACACACGCACACAGATGCTGATAAAACCTGCCATCATTGTCTTACTGTAAGGAACTAAGTTGCTTCTGTGATTTCATTTTTACGTGCTGGGCCGCCAATGGGGGTACGGCGCTAGGAGAGGCCTTCCTGAATGCTCAGCAACCCCGCTCGCGACACGGTCCTGGGAGGCCGCTGCAAGAGGCCGTGAGGAGGAGGAGCACAGACAAGGCTCTGCTCTGGGCCACCCCTCGCACCACCACCCTGCACAGCATGGGGCCTCTAAACCCCCAGGGGCCCAGGCACCACTACAGGGAGCAGGGAGGGGGGTCTGCAGACAGACCCTGAACGTGCCCGTCCCCGACCTCCCCGACTTCTCCCCTGCCCGGGGCCCCACAGGGCTTCACACAGAGATGCACACGTGAGCCCCGTCCCAAACCTGCCACGGACACAGCACGCGGAGCACCTCCATGAGCAGGTGCACCTGTGGGGCTCAGAAGTCCCAGACCCCAGGTTCCCGGGGCAACCCCAGCAGACACCGCAGGGGAGGGAGGGCTACGGTCCTCACCCTGACCTCCGCACGCCTGTGAGGGCTGACCACACGGAAAAAGGAGAGTCGTCTAGCGCAGCATGGAACCGAGAGCACCTCCTACTGACAGAACGTCACGCAGCGACATTTAAATCAAGGTTGGAAACAGGTTTTCAATCGTACAAATGGAAGTCGGTCATGTGGAGAAGTCACCCACTCCCCTTGTGTCTCACCCTGAGGCCTCCTGGGATCCCACACAGCCCTCCACAGTCAGACCTCTGTCCCTGTCACCCTGCTAGAGAGCTGTCCGTCCCAGGGCCCCTTCCGTGCCAGACCCTCTTTGGGGGTGACCCCCCACCGCCCACCTCCCTCCTCAGCTTGCAGGGGCCCCACTGCTCCCTCCCACCCCCAGGCCCCACCTTCTCGGCCTCCTCTGCCTCCCTCTACATCTCCCCACCTCTCTTCTCCCCAGGGCACCTCCTCTCATTCAGGAGTGTGGCCACGATCCCACACGCAGCTGTCAGATCCTGCTGTTACCCCCAAAGGTCTCTCCACCTCTGGGTTCTACTACCAGCCCCCGCTCAGGACCTCCTCCCTTGGCCTCCCCGCATCTACTCTCCCTCATTGATCCTCATGGAAGCCAGATCTGCCAAGGCCAGCCTTTGCTTCTATCCTCCAGCGGCCTCTCTTTGCTCTTGGAACACACGTGGAGCTCCCTGCCACGATCAGCCCATCCCCATGTGGCCAGGCTGCCGTCCACCCCTCCAGCACACCTCCTGAGCTCCAGCTATACTGGTCCATCAGCTTCTTGAACACACCACGTTCCCACCCACCTCAGGGCCTCTGCACCTGCTATACCCCAGGGGAGGAAACTCTCCTTCCTTCTTCACTGAGCTAACTCCCAACAGTTGTTCAGTTTAGCTCCAACATTACTTTCCCGGGGAAGCCTGTCCCCGGCCAGTCCCTTCCCCACCCAGTCGAGGTCTGGTGCCCCATGGTTTACCCTTACCATCCCTGTACTTCTCCTGCAAAGCCAGGAAGGTCGCAGCCGTCCAGGTAGAAGATGGCAGGGCCAGAGTGACGGAATCGCAAAGAGGGCATCCAGGAGGAGAGAGATGATGTCAGTGCCTCAAAATACTCCCTATGTCACCGTCAGCTCCCAGAAAGGGAAGATTCGAAAGAGCAGGATCACCTGATCCTCCTACACCGAGACCAGATGGGGCAAAAAATTTCCGGAGGAGGAAGAACAATATGGTGGGTTGGTGGAGGGTTTACGTCCGCCGTGCCACACGCCTGCCCGCGGGGACTCCGCAGCCAGGGCCGGGCACGCGCCTTCACACCTCCCTCCGTCCGTCGCCTCGGAGGGTCGTGCGCCAGCGCCGGGCTGGCCCGAGCTCCAGCTTCCCCGTGCGTGACTCTGTTTCTCCACCTGTTCTGCTAACAAACAGGGTTCATTGGGACCTCGCTTCCTGCTGCAGAGGCAGCTGTAAGAAACGGGACCCTGTTTCCATTACAAACGGCTTTTGAAAGCTCTGAGCCAGCAGCTGTGGCAGAAGCCAGGTACTCGAGAGGAACAGAGCCCCCCAACCCGCCTCCGGTGGAGACACACAGTTGGGCAATTTCCTGGTGAGAGCTGCATGCTAGGCTAAGCGACCGGCATTGTGGGAATGACCGGGAGGATCTGAGAAGGCTTCCTGGAGGAAGCCACAGTTGTGCCTTCCTGGCAAGGAAAACGCCCTGGAAGCAATGAAACAGGAGGTAAAAGGTGCCCTTTTCCTAAATGGATTCCTTCGATTGCTGCAGATTTTCTGGGTAGACCCACCCAGTCCCGCCCTCGAGGGGCGTGCCCCCCCCCCCACCCCCGGTCCATGCCCAGTCCCTGGACCTTGCTCCGACTCCCATGAGATCTAGAATTATTCCCCGGCCTCACACGCAGCTCTTAGCTACAGACCTCGGCGCAGGGTCCCAGGTTACAGCCAACAGCAAATGCACAAGCAGTCAGAACACCTCTCTCCTCAGCGTCTGCTTCCAAACGCAGACGGCCCCCTGCCCTCCGGGGAAGCATGGTTCCCCATGACACACAAAGGCAAAAGGACCACCTGCCACATGCGAAGTTGGTGAGGTTTCCGGCGCATTTTAACATCAGCGCAAGCCGAGGGTTTGAAAGCTTCGCCATGACACAGAACTCAGAGCTGGCTGACGATGTAGCATCCCTCCCCGGACCATCTCACATTTCAGACGCAGACATATTGTGCAGGATTCCTCCGACACAGCACAGGCGGCGAAAACACGGGGAAAAGGCAATGGGAGAGCATTCCAGATACAAGGAACATGAGGGAGTGACAGACATTTCGTCCCCCTATTATTGCATGGGCATTTCAGTATGAAAAACACCCCTCGATCTTCACATTGGGAAAAAAAAAATCAGTTACATGGAAACTTTCACAATACAACAACATGATGTTTTAATGATAATTCCAACAGAGGAAAAGCCAGAAGGGTCTTTCCGCGGGTGGGGGGTGAGGGGGACAGCTCAGCGGAGAAAAACCCTCCCCCCAACAGCCGTCTCTCTCAGAACCATTCTTCCCCCCGAAAGCACAGCACACATTACAGCCCTACCTTTTCCAAGGGATTAAACAAAGATCTCTCTTCCCTGTGACCAGCACCTTCTTGGGAGAATCTGTTATCCGTGCAGAAGAAATGTTAGGGACCTCTGGGAGGAAATGAGCTGCATTTGTATTCTGCTCAGAAAATGTCATCACAGATCTGTTTACCTTAACTGTGGACCATGATTCAGCCGTGACAACTGTCTTGCATACTGATCAATTTATTTGCAGCAAAATTTCTAACATTTAACTGCTTAGGTTCTGAAAAACCAGGGACTTGGATTTCTTGCGCAACCACAATATACGTTTGAATTATCTACGTTATTACTAACACATCTCGGGGGTGGGGGGGGTTGGAGATTAGAAGAGGTTGGTCCTGAAAGGAGAGCCAGGGAGGGTCCCTTCTGCTTTTGAAAGGAAGGCGGGGCACACGATTCCCCAAGGCCCTCCGTGGGGTGGGATTTTTATAGCACGATGTACAGAAAGATCATGAGTCCGAGAGTCGGGTGACTGTGAACCTGGGTCCTTGCTACATTTCAACCAGCCCATGTTGTCTGCGAGGCAGCCCTGTCCAACAGGCAGGCCCTGGGTCTCTGCAGCAGGGAGGAAGCGGCAGATATGGGAAGAGGCCAGGCCGTGCCTCTACCTGCTGGTGCCTCCAGCCTGGACACCGGGCATCCAGCCGTGTCTGAGCCACTCCCAGCCGGCAGGCAGGTTTTAGCATTAAACAACCAGAACCAGTTCCAGGGCAGCCCCCGCCTCCACTAACGGGGCTGCGGAGGCACAGGCCTGCTGCCCGGGCTGCCCTAGGCATGCATCGTGCTCTCTGGAAAGTGGGTGCTGCGCCAGAGCCCGCTCGGAGGTCCACACCCGTACCACCACTAGAGTCCCTGGCCTCCCTGCCACCTGAAGTCCCAGCGCCCCTGCCCTGAAGGTGGAAAACACAGACTCAGCAAGGGGACAGGGAAGTGGTCATGCTAGGAGGAAGAGAGGAAGGAGGTCACTCTTGGGATCATGACTCTGGAGCAAGACACTGAGAGCAAACTCCACCCCAGCCCACCCCCTTGTGATGGGACCCCCCACCCCCACCTGTCTCGGGCTGCAGTCTCCAGGCCAGAGGCCACCCCAGGAAAGGGGGGTCTCTGTAGCCCCGCAAAGATGGGCCAGAGCACCCACGGGGAAGGCTTGGGATCTGTCAGTGGACAGGTTGCCCCAAAGGAGGGCTTCCTGGCGGCTCTGGCTGAGACCCTGTGATGACCCACGGGGCCTGAGTCTTCAGGACCAGAGAGTGGCACAGCAGGGCTGACGCCCCAGGAGAAAGGGCCAGGCCTGGGCCGCTGGTGGGAGCTGCAGGGGGCTCTGAAGCGCAGACTGGAAAGCACTAGAAAGACCAGGGGCTGGGGAAGAGTTCAGACGCTGTGTGGAGGAAAGCCTGCAGACCAGACCATGCTCGTCTTCTGGAGGAGCCCTGAGGCAGGAGCGACAACAGCGAAAGGGACAAGGGCCGCTTGTGACCCCTGCAGGGGCCTGTGTGGCAGCCGGGGCCACAAGTGGCAAGGCGTCGGCCGTCTAGATACAGTGGGGAGTCGGGCAGAAACCAAATCTGCTAAAATGTCCAGCGTAAAGTGAGGAGCTGACACAGGACGGAATGGCCATCCCGAGAAGAACCACTCCGCTGTTGACCGTCACAACGGCAAGGACTAACGCTGCAAGAAAACGCTCATGGCACAAAATCACGCACGGGAACAGCTGTCTGTCGGGGTCCGCCGGAGCTCGGCTCCCGCCGCGCTCCTGCCTCCAACCTTCTCTCCGGCCCGGCCTTCCATGCCAGCGCCAGCCCATGGAATCCCCCTGCAGGACAGTCTCCAGACCCTTGCCCTGGTGTGCGAGCCGGGACCACTGACCACACCGGTCACTGTTGCGCCTGCGCCCGCAGTCACCACCCTCAGTGCTCCGAACAAGGCACGCCGTGTGCGCTTACCCTGCAAACCCGAACCCTCACTTTTGACCGTCAGTGCGCCCCAGACGAACTAACCCGCGGACGGCGTGCGCGGGACCCGTCCGCACTCCCCCAACCAGGTGGTTTACAGACGCGCTGCTGCGGGAGTGAAACGCGTGGTCATCCATGGCCGAAAGGTGAAAGCGATAGATGACATGTGCAAAACCAATTATTAAGAACTTTCAAATACTTAAATGCAAAAGGACAGATGGAAACAGCAGAAATACTGAGGGAATGCATGTGCCTGCTACCTGCCGATGACCATACCACCTCCCAGAACCAACAGGTGCACCGAACCCGAAACGGAGATACGAAGCAGAAGGAGAGGGATGATCACAGCGCGTTGTAACAAGCACGTGTCCCTGCAGAATCGTTTGCTGTTCTGGCCTTCGTGATCATAAATGACTATTACCGTTAAAACAGTTTTTAAAAATCTCTGTTTAGGTCACATGCCTTTCAAGAAAAAGTTCTACCTGGAAGCTTTCATGTCTTTGTAAGGAAGACCTGACAACCAACTTTTCAGCTTTGCTACCCCGAGGGTACACCCGGGGAGCCTTCGGAACCAGGCACCCCAAGTCAGTCTACAGGAACGCATCATCCATCCGAACACAACAAAGAAAACAAAGGGACTAAGGAAGGGAGGGAACGGACATGTGAGGGAAACACAGAACTGCCAACACGGCGTACAGCCACCAGACTCCGCTGCGAACGGACATGGCTTTGGTCCGACGGACGGGACGCCGTGCCGGAAGCATGGGGCAGCCTGGCCATGGACGGAGCTGGACAGATGGGGATGGAGCTGGACAGATGGCGTCTGAGCTGACGTCAGACTTCTGAAATGCGGTGGCCGGGAAACAGTAACAAAACAGCAACGACACGTTTTGCGAAAATGCCAGATCTTCACGCATCCAGGCCCGACGGTCCTCAGCGGCAGCCGAGCCAACAGCCGTTCTACGCCCAGAGCACCTCACTGACCTCCACGCACGCCCGGCGTGCACGCGCGCAGCGCCCCTGTGTGTGCACGCACGTGTGCGCACGGGTCCTCCGGCATGTGTGCGCACACAGCCTCTGTGTGCGTGCAGGTCCTCGAGCACGGCCACCAAAGAGAAGGCACCGCTAACAGCTACACCAGAAGTTCATCTCCCACTTGGCAGTTTCTATAACCTCTAAGTTGTGAAAACTCAGAGTGTGTTACTCCTACAGTCAGGGACAGTGTAGGGGATGTCACCGAAAGTAAATGAGCAGACCTGGGACTCTGGGCTCCATGGCGGCTGTCCAGGGCCTCTGAACACGAGCTGGGGAGTGGAACAGAACCCTGCTGGTGAAATCTGTGAACTCTGGGCCTCCTGCAGCCCATCCCAGAAGAAGGGATGAGGAGGGGAGGGACTGGGAGGAGATGGCAGAGTAGGGGAGGGGAGAGGTAGGAGAGGCCAGGGCTGGGGAGAGGAGGGCAGGGGACAGGATAGGGGAAGGATGGGAGAGGGCAGGGGAGAAGAAGGCAGGGCAGTGGAGAGGAGGGATGGGGATGGGTGGGAGAGGGGAAGGGTGGAGCAAAGAAGGGATGAGAGAGGGAAGGGAAAGGGAGGGGAGGACAGGGAAAGGGCAGAAAAGGGATGGGAGAGGGCAGGGGAGGGCATGGGAGGGCAGAGGAAGGCAGGGGAGGGATGGGAGAGGGCAGGGAAGGGGAGGGCAGGGCAGGGCTCACCCCCAGAGGAGGCGTCCCCCGCAGGCTCCTGAGCTCCCACAGTAAGGCAGTGGCTCTCAGCTGTGACCATGTTATGACTCCCTGACGACAGCGGGAACAGCACGAGCTCCTCAGGCAAGTTCGGGATGGGGAGGGGAGGCCACACAAGAGAACCGGGGACAAACATGACGACGTGAGAAACAAAGGTGATGCCCAGCAGATACAGGGAATCAGTTCCTAGAGGCGGGGGCATGCCACCAGCTCACAGGCAGGGACAAAGGGTCACAGTGGCCACAGGAACACGTGTGTCCCTCCAGGGAGTGACCCTGTGTCTTTCCTTGGCTGCTCCACACCAGGAGTGACAGGGACAGGAGGCTCTGTCCTCTCCACAGAGAGGGGCCCGCTGACAACCCAGCAGCTTTCCCCGGTCTCTACCCACACGTGTCCGCGGTAACCACCGTCCCCCGGGAACCAGGTCCGGGGCCAGACCCTCACACACGGAGAGGGCACACGGAGCCCACCGCAATCAAGAGGTCCTGCCAATGCAGACCAGGGACCATGGCAAGCACAGAGGGCCCCGTGCACTGGGGGTCTGTGCTGAGCTGTGCCACCAGGAACCAGCAAACTCGGTCAGACTCGTCTCCCAGACACTGTGGCCTCATCAACGGCTCCAAACAGGGGCAGCTCGGGAGGAGAGCGGCACAAATCATAAACCAGACAGCAGGTTCCTCGCAGGATGGCGGCCAGCCACGACGAAGGGGGCCGTGTCTCCGGGGCTAGGACCCGCCAAAACCATGAGCCAGGACAATCCGTGGTTAATAATCTGGGGGGATTTGGGTAACCCGGGAAAACCACGCCTACTCAGACTCCCCACACCGCCCAGCCACCAAGACCTGCCACACAGTCCACTCAAACCTGAGGGAGATGGCACCTTGACACGAACATTGGGACGCATGGGGTCAAACCAGACCACGTGCTTACAGTCCTGCTCTCGCTGAGTCATTGCTCCCAGAGGGCAGGGTGCCACGAGTATTCACACAACCCTCAAGGACAGCCACGTTTCCCTGGTTGCCACGTGGGAGGTCAACGGGGTCCCCTGGAGCAGCGCTCAGATCGCCAGCTCGGGCCCGAGCATGTCGCCCTCCTGTATAGACGGCACGTGTGCAGCCCCCCAAGTCCATGTCCGCAGCCCGACCCTCCATGGACCCGGAGTCCCCATGGGGATTACGGCCCTTTTGTCCAGACACAGGAGGGCTTGCTTCCCTTCCCTCCGCCCTCTGCCAGGGGAGGCCACAGTCAGATGTCCACCCACAAACCCTCACCAGACACACGATGGCGGGCACCTTGACCCTGGACGTCCCAGCCTGCAGGACCCTCAGAAACAAGCGCCTGCCGGCTGGGCCCCTGGTCTGACGCGCTCCTGTTGCCGGAGCTGGAGCAGACCAGGACGCCACCAATGCCCGAGGTGGCAAGAAACGGAGTGGCCACAGGGAAGGAGGCAGGACGGCACCCTGGACCAGTGCAGCCCAGCCGGAGGAGGCATCGGTCCCAGACTCGCAGCCCATGTGTCGTGGCAGGCAAACGGGAGGACCAAGCTCTGACCGGCA